ACTCGATCAACAGATCTTTGCATCTTTATATTTTTTGTTTTGTGCACTATCTGTGAGGTATGCATGGTATGTACTACGATAAGGAGCTAACAGTTAATCAGTGCTAACATCGAATTTTGAATAATTTTTTGATAGATAATTTGAGGTTTTGTACTGAGATATATCATAGTATTAGAAATATAATTAATTAAAATTGGCTAACGAAATACAGCAACTAGCGAGATATCGCAAGACTTGATCCTTCTAGTATATATACAATGTACATACTTGTACGTCCCTGGAACTCCATTTTGCTGGGAGGGACACTTTTATAACAACTATACCTTAAATAATTTAAAAAGATTAATAAAGCAAATTAATTTCGAATCAATAAAGGAGAAAAATCTGCATATTAAACCGAAGGCGGACCTTTTATTATAGAGGCAGGCCGGACCTTATATGTTATCGTCTTAGGTCCCCCCGGACCTTTAAACGAGGAGGACCAAATATTATGCGACACCGGTCGGCAGGGGATGCTCACTCTTCCATGGCACCTGATCCCATCTCTGTTGTTTTGAGGACCGTGTTTGCTCTGCACCTGCTTTGTAATGTTTAATGGACTTTTGAGCTTGAATACTGTTCGTTATCTCCATATATTTCATGTATACAAGATAAAAGAAGCTAAAATTTGCAATATGATAATTATTTCACTATACCATTACTAATGATTAAATAAAATATCTTTACGAACTCCCAATTGTGTTAAGTTGTGTATTTTTGTTCTGACTGCTCTAGATTTATATTATACTTGTAATCTTAAATAGCGTATGATAATTTACATAAAAGTTAACTGAACAAATTATTTAGATTAGTGAGAACATGCATGCAAATATTTGTTAAAATTAAAAAATAAACCTTTACGACATTCAGATGGAAAAATAATCAAACTGATCTATAGGCTAAACACCGTCACGGTAAAATTAATGTTTTTATTATTTTTATCTTTTAAATACAAAAAACATTTTTATTGAGGAAAAACATGGGCCTCGACAAATGATTTATGCATGTACTGATCATGAATTAAAAGTTGTCAATGAGCAAAGTTATCTTACCCTTCAGCCATTCAGTGCTATTACATTACATTATTTCTCTTTCACCGAAGACAAATTGACTCTTCCAGGAGTATAGAAATGCACAAAAAAATACACAGACGGATTCGAATAAGGATTGCATGTGATTAAAAGTTTCATAAACAAAGGAGGGAAAGTCCTGTATATTTTACATCAGAAATAAGATTCTTTATTGTGCCATTTATTGCTTTTTTCTAAAATTCCGTTAACAAAATTACAATATTATTTGTTTGCGCTACATTAGCTGGCTAGCTTTCAACCCATGTAAAAATTAATCTTTAATCTGTCCGACGCCTTGATGTTAGGAAATGAACGATTGTGTATAGTTTATAGGAACTCAATTCAAAATTAAAAGCTTCATTGGGATATGACGTTGGTAAGTACGTATTAAAATTTCCAGAGAAGCCCCTTAGCTACAGTTTTCACAGGATTTTGTCACAGGACCAACAATTTTTTTTTTCTTTCAAATACTTTTTTTTTCAAAATAATCAAATAATAACCACATCATGCATACCTCAGAAAAATAGCTTTATATTTTAAAGAATATATTTGAAAGTAAAATGAAATTTTAAAACTGACTTTAGATCTATGTATAATGAGAAGTACCGTTTATAAAAATAAGATTCTGAAGAATACTATTAGACTAATTGTTCATAGAACAATTAAAGGTCTTTCCATCTTCTCTAAATTTAATTCATCTCTTTAACTTTACAGATAAATTCCATGAAAAAGAGTGACTAAAAAGCTACCTTTGACCTTGACCAATTGTTCAAGGTGAAAGGTCATGAATCAAATTGCAGTTGGTCCCGTATTGTACGACTTGCCGTTTAAGAGTTTTAGGCTTTAACGATAAGAACAAAGAAGTAAAAGGGCAATAACTCACATGGGTCGTCAAATACTTTTGCACTAAATAGACAATGGACAAATCTTCATTTTTTTTTTAGCATTACATTAATATTATTTAGTGGCGCAGTGGTTAGAACGTCTGCTCTAGAGTAACGAAGTAAGGAGTTGATCCTTACGTCGCGGGTTCGAATCCCACTGTGGGACGTGGAGACCGGTCCTTCGGATGAGACCGTATAAACCGAGGTCCCGTGTCGCAGTAGGTGCTGGCACGAAAAAGATCCCTCACTGCTCAATGGCCGTAAGTGCCGAGTATAGGACAAAATTTGCAGCTCTCCACCGGCAAGTGGTGGCGTCTCTATATGAGTGAAAAATTCTCGAGAGGGACGTTAAACAACATACAAACAAACAAAAAAACAAAATATTATTTAAAATTTATTATGTCTTTGAATTATACCTTATTCAACTAAAATTTTATTTTTTAAAATTTTTTTTCATTTTTTACCATTAATACACATTTTCTCGTTACATTTAAGCAACGTTATTTTCAATACTTTTGTATTAAACATTGTATCACGGTTGCTCTGTTTCCAGTTCAATAAAGGTTAAAGGAAGAAAATATGCAAATTTTAGTAACAAATTTATAAGCATTTTCTTTTACTTATCAAAAAAGGGGAAAAAGAAAAAACACCTACTGCGATACGGGACCTCGGTTTTTACGGTCTCCTGAAAGAATGGTCTCCGCGACACACAGTTGTTTCGAACCCTCGACCTTAGAATCAGCTCCTTTTCTTTACTAAAGCAAACGTTCTAACCACTGCGCTACGTGGGCTATCAAATATTTAAACGATTGCTTAATTAAACAATTTCTTGTTCAGTTTCATTAAAAATTGCAAGTAACTTAGGTCCGTCGCCGTATTCACTTTTTGCTATTTAATGGTTCTTTATCGAAAACGAAAGTAGACTGTTAATTAAATTTACGATAATTACTATTCGATTGAAATCCAAATATAGTTTACGAACATAATCTTATACCTTATGATTAGAGGAGTAAGTATAAAATCTGGTGCTGGCTTTTCAAAAATTAATTAATTTATAAGTTTAGCATTACTCTGAGTACCTATGTTGATAATCACAAGATGATATATCATCCATACATACATTAAGCTGGACAATGAATTACTCTAGCATTTTTTTCTCTCTCACATCTTTAGATCAATAGTCATTGATATAAGAAATAATGGATTTATCTATTATTCTTATTTTAGACGAGAATAATATTAAATCCACATTGTTTCCCGAGATCATTAGATATTATGTACGACATTATCTGAGTCTTTGTATAAAACATATAAATAGCATTTACAAATATTAATCAATTTTCTGAAAATCCGGAAAGCTATTTTTAAAGTGGTAAATACAGGAGTAAAAATAGAGCAAACAGATGTGGAATAATTCAGTGCTGTTTTCATTTTTTTACTCTATCAGGAACATAGGGAGAAAGTAAGTACCTTCTCTTATTATTCTTGAAAATCAAATTTTGATTAAAGTCAACAAAATTTATTCTTTTACGGTCATGATTACAATAAAGAGAAACAAGACCTGGTAAATAATTAAAGATTACAATCTCTTTCAAATAAGAAATTACGGCGTGCCGATTAGCACTTTTGGAAAACGATATAAATTTGGAACTCTAAAGCATTACTTAATATCATACTTTTCAACAAGTATTAACTTTTGGGAAAGTAAATATTTATGTAAGGACAGATGAAACAAAATATATTTATAGCTGAAGGCCAAGTTGAGCTCATATTTTTGAAAATTTAAAATGATTTTTACAGAAAGGTATATCTAAACCTACAAAACTACATAACAACAAACACAAATGTAAATGTTTTTACATTATAATTAAGTGTTTGCATTGTATTAGTTTCCACGGAACATCTCAATAAAACATGTCATTTGTAGCACAGCTTAATGTACGCTAAGTTGAATTCGTTATATACAATGAACATGGATTGAACAGCAGGCAAAACTGGCCTTTATTAGTTCTCTCCATTAGAGATCAAGGTACCAATGTAACAATTGTATATATTTGAAGTTTTACGAAGACGTGTATTTTAAACTAATTCGTAAGGAGGTTACAGAGTAAAAAATTGAAAAAAAAAAAGGGGGGGAAATGAACAATAAAATTTTTAAAAATTGAAAGAAAAGAAAAAAGGGGGAGGAAAAAAGGTATGCAGGTGTATGTAGGACTTAAAATATTTCTGTTTTCCTAGAAAGTTTTCATTTATTTTACAGACACAAAAACAATTTTAGAAGGCGATGTTTGTTATAACTAGTGAACGAAAGATTTCTTTCCTCGTCGTTGGGATATTCGTATCCGGAGTCTTGGCATCAAGATGTAAATATGACGATGGTAATATGGAAAAGTCATTATTATAAATTGCTTCATTAATTCAATATGATTAAATAATTGAGATTATCTACACCTTTTTTTGACTGCGTCATATTTAATGTGTTACACAGGAAAATAAATATATATTTACAGTTTTCATGAACTCTGTTATATGTACTAAATCTTTTTCATTTGTTGTTTTAATTTCCTTAGTAACTACGGATGAGCATTGCAGTTCCAGGGGGCCAGGTTAGTATAAATATATATTATTACATATTTAATAAATATAACGAATTTTCATTTAAGGTTTATACTTCATTCTTACCTGTATAAAAGTGTTACTTTAACGCTTATGATTTTCTAAAAGAAATACATTCTATATGTTTAATAAAAACAACAATATATATCATGGCATGTGGGGGAAAATGGACAAAAAAGACCAAATTAGCAATTTTTTATAGATATTAAATAGTTTTGTCATTAAGAGTTATCTCTCTTATCAAAGAATCATTGAACCTTGATAGCAAAAAGAATAGCTGTTGCCTCGTGTAAAAAATTTTACATTCAGGTAGTACTTTTTTATTGCGTTATGAATGAATTTATACAAACAGAAAAGTTAATAATTTTTACTTTTCATTGTCTTTAATTAGATAATAATAAGGATAATGAGATACGAATTTTACTTATTGGAAAAACTGGTGTTGGAAAAAGCACGACTGGCAACACGATACTTGGTTTTAGAGCATTCAATGCCAAGCTTTCTGGAAGTTCAGTGACAACCGAAACACAGTTTAATAGAACAAAACGATTCAACAAAAACTTGGTCGTTGTTGATACACCTGGTTTATATGACACGAACAAAACAAACCACGAAGTTATATTGGAAATATCTAAATGTTATGGAATCACATCGCCTGGACTCCATGCAATTATACTGGTGCTTCGTATAGGACGGTACACAACTGAAGAACAGGACACTGTCGACTTCTATTTAAATGCCTTTGGGAAGAATGTCAAAAAATATTTGCTTATAGTTTTCACTGGGAAAGATCGACTTGTTAATGACAATATGACAGTGAAAGATTATGTGAACACATTAAATAAAACTTCAAATTTACGAATTCTCATCGATGATATCGATGGAAGGTATACTGCAATTGGGTATAGGGGCAATCCGTCAGACCGTGAAGCGGAAGTCAAGCACATCCTTGCAATGATTGAAGAGATGGGGAGAAAGAATGGTCATTCTTTTTATACTAATGAGATGTTTAAGCAGGCTGAGGCCCTTCTCAAAGAACGTGAGAAATTGCGAAAAACACAAGAAGGGCAACAAAGCAAAGTTAACGTTGATGCGAGGCATACCACACGAATAGAAATCACGAATAACAATAATCAAGATGGAATTTTATCAGGTTTATTTAATATTGTGTCCTCTACAGTATCTTTTCTTGGCAGAGGAATTGTAGGAACTGCAAGATTCATTGGAGGGCTTCTTTTTGGCTGAATCCAAATTACCATTTCTGTGATGCTCATCGATGATATTGATGAAATATATACAAACATGCATTTCAAAATCGTTTTATAGTAAAATAAAAATAAGAAATTAAAAAAAAGAAATTGGATTGAAAGTGATTTATTCATTATTTCATAGAATTCACTATAACAAAACAAATACGACTAGAATCCAAACATCCTCTTGTAAGAGTGGCGTGCATAAAATATTTGTTTTCCTTAAAACATTACAAGGGAGACGGCAGTCTTTTGATACATTAATTAATTAATAAATCCAAAAAGGATGAGTTCTACCATGAATCATTGCGATAAATGTGATGCACTTGAAACGCACTCTGCATGATTTTTATTTAAAATTATCAAAATAATTGCAAAAAAAAAAAAAAAAAAAACAATCAAAGATTTCGATTATTGAAAACAAATTAAAACCATGACTTGACTTTGAAATTACAAATCCTTGATTTTATTTTAAATTGGAAATTGTTATTGTGAGTTACTAATTTTAATTCAAATTTGATATTTTTATAATTTCACGATCCTTTCTTATCATTTTAAGATCTTTTCTCGTAAAACCAAGATATTTTCCCCAATTTTACGAGATACTCCTAGTTTTTTTCCCCCTTTTAAATGAGACTCATCAGTTTAAGCACTAGTACTATTCTTATATACGAAACAAGATTTTGTAATAAAGGGAAAACATCTCATAATAACGTAAAGGTTTCTTCTTTAAAAAAAGGTTTCTAATTATGATTAACAGATTTTGTTAACTTATAACGATAATATATCTTCGAACACGTATTACGAAAAAAATCTTATAATACCCGAAAAGTTAATGCTTTTTATAAACTGTCATCAAGCCATCATTTTCAAAACGTGCAAATCTTCCAAAAGAAATTTAGAACATATATACACTTAAAGTGTTGCAAAATGAGTTATATGGCTACTTTTATAATTTTAAGACGATAGGGAAAAGGCCCGCAAGAGTATCCCTTCATGTAATTTTTTGTTCTTCATTGAATATTGAGAATTTGTTAAGTTTATCTAGCTGATATAAACTGGGTTTTTTTTCAGCAGTTCATAAATTTATTAATGAATCTGGAAGATTTAATTAACATTTCAATTTATTTATGTCACTTGCCAATATTATTTACTATATGCTATTATTTTGACAATTGTACTAACTGTATTAACTTTACTAACACCAGGAGAAGAACTTGTAAGTTGTAAGAACTTGTTTCTGATCCTTTTGTGTTAAACAATAAAATATGTTCAAATCAAATCTAGCTCTATAAATTGATATAGCAAGTCAACACTTTGAAAGAACAAAATCATAAATTTGAAATAAGGCAAATTATTAACTTATGATAACAAGCTAACTAATGATTAATTTGAAGTCAGAAATTATTTATTTGAAATAATAATTTAAAAGATTTTTTTAATTTAAACCATTTTTAAGGCAAATTATTTATTTATTATTTTTGCAATGTCAAGTTATTTTAATTTCTTATTTCTAACAAATAATTAAATTACTCGTATAATCCTTAAAAACTTCTATTGTGATGCAATATAAAATCAAAGTACTGTGAGTACTGATAGACGGTGGCATGAATGATTTTGTTTGATTGTTGTTTGTTTTAATTAAAACGTCCCTCTCGGGAATTTTTCACTCATAATGAGACGCCACCATTGCCATTGGTGGGCTACAAATTTTATATCTATACTCAGCACTCAGGGCCATTGTGCAGTGAGGGATCTTTTTTTCCGGCAAGCACTTACTGCGACACGGGACCTCAGTTTTACGGTCTCATCCGAAGGACCGCTCTCCATGTCCCGCAGTGGGATTCGAACCCGCGACCTAAGGATCGACTCCTTACTCCTTGACTCTAGAGCAAACGCTCTAATTACTGGCCACTGGCATGAATGAATTAAATTAAATAAAATGATATGAGAATCTGTAAAATGATATGCAAATTATGAAAGTTTGTTGCAATTTTTCACAATACATGTATTTGATGAGTTATTTTATATTAGTTTAAAATATATTTATTCATTACAAATGAAACGGATTGAACAGCAGGCATAATGCCTATAATCATTCTCTCCATAGATCAAGGTACATATAACAATTATTGATACATTTAACATTGAAAAACAGTATGTAAAATAGATAAATCATTAATTGGTACATACCTAAGGTGAATCCAGAGAAAGGGAGAGTAAAATGAAGAGAAAAAAACATAATAAAGTACATTTAACATATTGAAAAGCAGTATGTAAAATAAACCATTAATTGGTACATGTATAAAGTGAATCCACAGAGGGTGAGAGAGAGATTAAATAGAAAGAGAGAGAAAGACCATATTAAATTAAAAAAATAAAATAAATAAAAAAAAAACAACACACACACATAATAAAGTTGACTCAGAGTGGAAAAATTTCCTTTACATACCTAAAATGAGATAATATTCTTCCTAGCATATCATGATAAACTAAGATTTCAGTGAAAACCTCCTTGAGTTTCTTATAAAGGTATGTACATGATCGAAAAATGAAAAGCATAAGGATTCAGCACCATATAGTATATTATCTATATTAATTGGTATGCCATTCTCATTCATATATTTAATCAGCATCTGTTTTTGAAGAACATATTGTGGGCAATACATGAAAAAATGTAATGAATCTTCAATTTGGTATCCACAATTTGTACATTTTGGTGAATCATTAAGGTGGTCTTTAAAAAGATAGCATTAAGATTACTACATTTATTTCTTAACTGACAATGTAGTATATTTTCAATTCTATTCCCATAATTGTACAACTTGACTTTATTTTTCTGGATGGGATTGGTGTAGGTTAATCTTTTTTGAAATTTTGCTATGTAGGGGAAGTTCTACAATCATCAGGTAAATTATTCCATAAAGATATTGTGGATGGTACAAAACTATTATAGTAAGACACTGTTCGAGTGATTGGGATACGATATGAGTTTGGGTTGCGTAAATTATAATTATGCTGAATTGGCATACATCCTTCAAGTATATTATACATGTATTCAGGGGTAAGATTATTAAGAATTTTATACATCAGTGTGAGCTTATGCTTTTACCTTCTTGAACTTAAGGTTTCCCATCCCAACTCATAATATAGGTTAGTTTTGGATGTATTGCATGTAATTATTCTTACAGCTTCCAGTCTTCCACCTGAACACTTTCCAGTAATTTGGATTGTTCTTCAGTGCAATTATCCCATACCACATCCCCATATTCTACAACTGGTCGAACAAATAATAGATATATTTTGATTAACAAGTCCCTTTTTAATTTATATTTAAGTGTACGCAATATATTTAGTCGTAAGCAAGCTTTCTCATAAATTGTTGTAATATGTTCGGACCACCCTCCATTAGACTGTAATGTCAACCCTAGGTGACAGTGACTTTGATTCTGAGAAATACAATTCATTGTGTTCCCAAATGAGATATTTGGGTGTACTCGTTGAGTTCTGGTAAAATTAACATTTTTATATTTGCATCAGTATGATGAGGACATGTATTAATTGAAGTTGTTAAACAATTTATTGCATGAAATTTTCTACATTTGTTTAGTTTTATTATAAAATAATGTTTGAAGGAAAACATGCGCTGAAATGCCAGAAACGAAAGCTTGATCATTTCAATCTTTTTTTTTTCATTAGTTAATCCTTAAACAATTCATTTTACCCTAAATGTTAAATTAAGGGAATCAAAGGTTCTAATATATTCATGTGGTGACCGAACATATTTATTTAAGATAGCTTTCTATACATGCATGTGTGGTTCCATTTAGGCGCTCTTCCAAGTTAGATGTGCATTTTTTTAGCAGAAATTTGTTTGAAATATTTGAGGAACAATTAATAAACCTATTGTGAGTTGCAGATATGAGCGAGTATCAGTAAATTCCGAATTCATTGTACTTTCTTCGCATAATTTTATAAAAAAAATTATCATGCGTACATTTCAGCGATATCAAGTATCAAATGAAAAAGTTAAATTTTACAACAAAAAGTGTCATGAAATCGTGGTGTTTTGAAGTTAGAAATTGTGATTTTATCATTTAAAATCTTATATTCAGTGGTTAATTCACAGGCACTTGGGGTATGGACACCCCCCCCCCCTTTTCCATTTTTTTTTCTTTTTAAATCTGGGTTCGAGTAACATTTTTCCTATTTTTGTATTCTAATATGCACTATATGTTATCAGTAATGTAACTCTTTTGTTTCTATAAACTGATACATAAAAAGAGAGTGTGTCAGTCGAAAACGATATATTTAAAAACAGCTTATAGAAACAAAAGAGTTACATTATTGATAACATATAGTGCATATTAGAATACGAAAATAGGAAAAAGGTTACTCAAACCCAGATTTAAAAGAAAAAAAAATGGAAAAGGGGGGGTGTCAATACCCCAAGTGCCTGTGGGTTAATTATCAAATTTTGCTAATCTGGAATAAAATTGAACTCACAATATTTTTTTTTTAAACAAAAACTAACTTTTCTTAAAATAAATGGTAAAAATTAAGGGAAATGATGAATCACTTTTGGCATTGTACTGTAGATTGTGCGACATAAATCATCATGCTGAAAGATAATGAAATAGACTTTATCTTTGGATCCCCATTTTTGCCAAATTTTCAGTAATTTACTTATTTCTATAAGGTTGAAAGACTTCGAGAATTGTACAGTAGTTTTACCTTTTTGTTTGATATATATATACTGTTCGAAAAAAGAAGAAGAACAGAATAACAAAATATCTTTCACCCTCTGACCCAGCCAGTCATTGCGTAATACGAAGTTTTGAAAACACATGTAGGAGAAGACTGCCCCATATTAAGTCAACTGAATTCGCAAGAAAATCCTAATATTTCATGTACATGTATTTGTGTAGCTTTTTTCTTACACTTTTTAAAGGGTAAATTTTATTCGAGGCACGATAGAATTTTCAAATACAAATGAAATATATGGGTAACTTTTGTTCGTCACAGTCCTATAATTATAGCTTTGATAAATTAGCATCCTTTCAGTAGTTTTTGTGTCCGAGATAATTAGGCAATGACTTCTGTTTTTAGATGGAACCGTAATAAACTTTGCAAAATGGCATCGTATCTGCCTTCAACAACCCTCTTTTATGTAAACTTTAAGAGGACGTGATTTTTTTTCCCATTCCGAAAATAGATCGTTTTCTTATATGGTATCGTCAACAAATACTAGAAATTCAAATAACAAGTTGCTGTCCTTTAAAAAAGGACTGCAATATATGGACCATATGCATGTGTTTCGAAACGAAATTCAAAGAAAATTTCTAGATTTAGTGAGTTTACAAAGGTGTAATTAAGTTCAATCTTTTTTTTTTCTAATTGTCATCGTTATTTAAGTCTGTCTAATTAGGCTGTAATGATAAGAAAAATCATGACCTTGAAATGATGTGAATATGAAATGTTGATCTAGGTATCTATCACAATTGTAATTTAGCTTTTAAAATTAACAACAGAATTAAAAGAGGCTTAAGCGTGCAAGTATCGTAATCTCCATTGGCATATCCAGGGAGGGGGGGGGGTTTCGGGTGTTGGAACCTCCTTTATTTTTGCAGAAATTGGAAGAGAGAGAGAATGTTTATTCTGTAGTACATATTTTTTTTCATCTAGTATTTTCAATAAAATATGAAGTACTTCAATCTCTGTCCTTTCTGCTCTCTAGATAGAGTTTTGCTTATTGCTTCCTCCGTGTACCTTCACAATACCGGTCCCGGGCCTCGACCACCCACATGTAACTTGAAATATTTCACTTTGATATCATCGGAAGATTCCAGCGAACGAACGTACGGCTATGCCATTTTTGGACCATCTTCTAAAGTAACTAACTTTAAGAAGTATGCATAAAAAGTCATGAAAGGGAGTATCCGTAAGAGAATATTATCCTTTACAAAAATTTTGATATTTCTTATGCAAAATTTGTACATGACAATTAATTGTCATGTACAAATTTTGCCTAAGAAATATCAAAATTTTTGTAAAGGACAATATTTATCTCCTTACACTATAGAGTTATTTTATCATTGAAGAAAAAGGTTCAAATTGCCCCGTAGTATGTGGGGGAGGGGGCTCACTTTTTCTTTAAAAAATCTTTTGTTAGAATTTGAATATATGTTTTAATTTGCATTGGAAGCTCCCCCGCACTTTTTGTTGTGGAAAAGTTCAAAATACAGAAAATCAAACATTTAAAAGAAATCAAAATGTACCCGAAAAATTAGACGAAGTCCCCCCCCCCCCCCCTAAATAGGATTTTAGAGGGTGGTGCACAGGTTGTTAATTTTTTTTTATTTATTTCTGCTTGTCAACTCTTTTTGGAGGTTGCACCCTTTGAAAAGCGTTGCTACGGGCTTGAATGTAAGTGCCTGTGGTGTGACTTAGACCCCCCCCCCTTTACTAAAGAGTCTCGAGTTATCTTAAACAATGCTAAGTTATCGATTAACTCGATCAATTTAAAAACACAAAAAAGAGATTACTTTTGTGTGTGTGTGTGTTTTTGTCTGTCTCATTTAAATAACGGAATGGTTAATATACAACACCTGCAATCGTAACTTCTCGGCAGAAGGTCTGAGAATCTTATCGCACGTGTGTAGACCTAGGCTATTTGGTCTTGCAAGCACAGGTGTGTGTATGTTTGCTAGTGACGATTAGACTGGTGACGGTATTTGCTACAAACATGAAGAACTATACACCAGTTTCATAACATGTACAGTTTTTTTTTTAGTGAAAATTGGAGTAAATTAAAAGTCGAATATTTTGGATACGGGGTAACCCATATCTATTCTTGTTACAACGACCGTCAATGCATCCATGGGCGAGTTCATTGGTTACTCTGAAAGGTGGCACAGGTTTACCTTCGTTAACATTTTCTACAATGATCTGCTTACTTTGAGTGATTGTACTTTCATAGCAAAGTTGTTAAATTTTATTCCCGATTGGCCTATAAGTTTTGTCATTTAACTGAAAAAAATCGGGCTATTTCGATACATGTAATGCTTAACGGCTGGGACTTGACATCTGTACTAGATTTATACGGAAGTATCCTATCATTGGAAAGATAGATGGTACACGTGTAGCACAGATCTGTAGTACGCAGAATTTTTTTTTTTTGGATGTTTCTCCCTCTCCCCCACATGGAAAAACATTGCTACAGGCCATTATCAAGCTATATTTGGATTGCTGTCTATCAAATTATTTTGCAAACCTTGATGCACAAAACTAATGCCGGTAAACATGGCAAAGACTATCTTTTAAAACCTAGTGTTTTAATTCAACATGTTCAAGCTGTTAAGCTATCTCTATAAGTTCTTCCTACTTATTTAAAATGCTTGTACCATAGAATTTAGTTTGTGTATAAGGATATATGTGTTAAAGAGAAATTCAGATCTTGGTTACACCAAAGAATACATAAATACGATTTGCAGATTTTAGAGCGAGGTTTGCCAATGATTGGCATATTCTAATTCGAAAAGGGCGAATTGTTCTACGGGCAAGTTGTCTTAGAGGCGAACTCTCTAGCATCCTCGCGCATGCGTAGCCTGACGTAAGCCCATGGCATCCGGTTTAACTCCGCTAATATATTTTCTGCGTGGACCTCAGGGTCCACGCAATCAAAAGACACGTAAAATTTCAATAAACTGTATAAGTATTATTGTATAAAAATTCCACAAAACGTCTCAAATAAAACATTTAAAGGCCGAGGTTTTGAACCGGTCGGTTTTCCTCAGGTAAGTTTGATGTGGGGTGGAGCTTAATTGAAACGGCTGTGAAGCCTCGAGGAAACCAAGCTGGCTTGTGTATACCTACCTATATACACAGGATGTTACCTGTATATTACCTGTAAATATTTACCTAAGACATAGTTTAACTTCGGGTGTTGGTCAATCGAAATGTTGATTGTCAAATTTATGAAATAAAACATGCTAAATTTTTTTTATGTAGACTGATTCCTTTAGTTCAATTCTTTTATAAAAATATGTTTGAATAAAGGAGACAGTTTTAGTTTAATTGTGTGCGTTAATAAATTTCATGCAGTTCTGCAACAAGGAACACGCAGTCCTCGAATCATGTTAACTGAATTTTCGGAAATGGAGAAATTTTGGGATCGACGCTTTCCAAGCATGGAGTATCTCGAGTCGTTATTAGGGAATACCAAATTGGGAAACATCTCGTAATAAGCGTTTGTCACACATCCAACAGCGAAGAAACCGCCGAGAGTGTGTTGGTTTAACAATAACTATTTTATTTCCTAAGATAGTAAGGTGTAATGTGAAACCATTATCCATAAATATTTTCCCCCAGATTTTTTTTTTTTTACTTTTAATAAATTTTATTGAAATTTTACATTTACACAACGTAAAAAAGGCCGTGTGTACGAACTGACTTTTTGCATTTGTTTCATGTTCAGCAATTAAACTTTATGTACGAATTGACTTCTGTAGTTTGCATACGAATTGACTTCTTATGTACGAATCAGTTTTTGTACGAATTAACATTAAGTCGGCGTAATTTAATGAATATTCATGAGGCGAGAAATATAATAACGGCAAATATCAGGAATTAAACTTTGCGCCCATCAACAAAATGTCATTGAAATAACTTGAGAACCATGTACATTTTATTTTCGAACATCGAAACGACCCCACTTTCATTATTTTGTTTCTGCAAAAATCGCCGCTAGGGTCCCCGTGATTTTACACTGTTGTTTATTCATCGCCCAGATCAACAGCAATAGCCTGTGGCTATAAATAGCCACCGTCTAAAAATTCTGATAATTTTTAGAATGTTTTGCAGTTGTCAGACAAGTGAATACAGCACAAATGATCCAAAATGTTTGTAATAAATGCAAATTTGACACAAATAAAACAATCCTGAGAAATTATGTCAGCTAACCATATAAATTATATTCTTTTTCTTTTAAATTGTTATGTTTCTAAAAATATTTGTAACTGCGAAAAAAAAAAAGATTGCATATTGTTTCTCGAGTATACTATGCGCGACATTCGTTTTCTGAAAATCCGAACTGCTATTTTTAAAGTGGTAAATCCGGGAATAAAAATAGAACAACAGATACATATAATTCCACACATTTTTCAGTTCTTTACTTCATATATAATAGCGGTATTAATGTAAGTTATTTTTCGTATTTCAATTAGACTTTAACTTTGATTCTTGGAAATATAAATTTTTAAGCATCGTTAAAATACACTTTTACGGTCAAAATCGATACGTATAAAACGTATACTTTTGGTAAAACACTGACATTTTTGACATCTATCTTTAATATTACAGTTATATCTATACATGTATAATACTAGTAATTTGTCGAGTAATTTGCGTCATTTTATCAAATGAAAATGAAGAATTTCAGTAAATAATGATTGATTTTCAGCACAAAGAAAAGATTTGCAACAAACTGACGATGGTAAACACTTTGCTCTTCATTAGTGTGGTTATATGTGGAGCATTCTCATCAAATTGTGATTTTGACGTTGGTAAGTGAAATATATATTTTTAAGATAATAAATTAGCAAGTTTTTATATTCAGTCTTTATTTCTTTTTTTTTTTTTCTTTTTTTTTTTCAAAATACTACTATAAATAATTATACAATAATATTATACTTTAGAGAATGGTAATCAGCATTGTAGTTCGAGAAGACCTTCAGGTATGTATTAATGGGGTGGTGTTTTTTTTTTTGTTTTTTGTTTTTTTTTTTTAATTGACCTTTGACCTATGATAAAGAGGGGAAGGGGTAAAGTACATTTATTCCTTCTTCCTAAGATAACGTTCGATTTTCAAAAATCAAGGAAAACCTACTTTCTGTACTGTAATGTCTGAGTGCCACTTTGATCTCTTTTAAGTTTTATCTATATTTGTGATTTTTGCATGTACCATATTATCAAAGCAATTTTAATTTAATTTTGCAGCAAAAATATTATGACGTTGCGCACGGTGTTGGTACACATTTACGTTACGTTAAAATAACGTTATTGAAGTCATAACGTTGGTACAACGTTTTAAACGTTATAATTGCATATTTTAGTTGTTTAACGTAAATTTTATTTATTTATCTATTTATTTTTTAAAAATCTAAATAAAATAACAGTACCGGTAGATACTTTCAAAGTTGACTTTAACGTTTTCCTTTTTATTCTTATACACACTCCGTATATCACGACAAAAGTACATAAATGACAGCACCCGCGAAAAGATACTTCTTCGTTTTTTATTTACTGCAATATGTTGCTGTGGAAAATAGCAATTATTTATCTGGGTCGGTTTTTACGTGCAGGTCCTTTGAACCGAAGGTTCAGATAAGCTTTTCTGATCAATTGTCCTTGTCTAGCTGTATCCATATCTTAGAACCAGATTACTAAAACTTTGGAGAAGTGTCCTACAAGCTAGTGCATGGAAGAAAGTATTTCAGTTTTTTGATGGATTCAGATAAGGATGTTTTTTTATGTCTTTAGCATATGGTTACTTGTAGATTTGATATCTCTGATACGGTCGTAATCAGATAATCAAATGATGCAGGTGTCTGTCAGTCCGATTCTGATTAGTAAGAATAATTAAAATAAAGTAACTAAATTTTATCGTCATATTTCATTGATAATGCATTCATTTTGCAAATTCCTGCACGAAAAATGACATTTTAATGCCCCTGTAATCAAAGAATAGGGGTATATAGTTTTTGGTCTGTCCGTCCGCCTGTCTGTCTGATTATATGTTAATCTGCTTAATTGTCTGTCCGCAAAAATGTAATATTGCCCGGAACTTTCGATTGATTGGTACCAGGGCTTTCATATTTCACATGTGTATTTCTTGTGATAAGGCCTTTCTTTGGGTGAAACACATGGAGATAACAAACAGTATTCAAGCTCAAAAGTCTGCTCAAACAATACAAATCAGGAGCATAGTAAACACAGACCTCTAAAACATCAGAGCTTGGATCAGATGCTATGGAGGATTGAGCATCCCCTGCCGACTGGTCGTACCGAAATACTTGACCTATTGACTTTGATCTTGGAGTGTGACCTACTTTTTGCAAAATTTATTTAAACATTTACCTTGGTCATAATTTTGGGACCAGACCTCTCTTTGGGTACCAACAATTTTGACCTTTTGACCTTGCCCTTGGAGTTTGACCTACTTTCAAAAACTTTTACCTTGGCCATCACTTTTGAATGGTTGGAGCTACGACTTACAAATATCGCAGGTGTATTCCTTTTGACATGACCTTCCTTTAAGTACTAATATTTTTTTTACCTCCTAAACTTGACCTTTGAGTTTGACCTACATTAGTTTAAAAAAACAGTTGTGCTAGAGCTTTCATATTTCAGTAATGTGTTTCTTGTGACAAGACCTTTCCTTTGGTACCAATATTTTTGACCTCACAACTTTGACCTTGGAGTATGACCTATTTTTAAAAAACAACCTTCTCCATATTTTCTAACTTGTTGGTGGTTGGGCTTTCATATTTCACATGTGTATTAATTGTGACAAGTCCTTCCTTTGGGTACCAACATTTTTAACTCTTAAACTTGGAGTTTGACCTACATTTGAAAAACTTCAGTCTTGGCTTTGAGGTACCCTACGGGGACATCAGTGTTTAACAAACTTATTTTGTACATAGCTATAAAAACATTTAAATCAACTTGGAATTTAGATATTTCATTAACTTAAGCAAGAATTATGAATAGGCATTTCACTCCCCTGTGTTTCACTCCATGTGTCGATGTCATACCAATGATTTAGTAACACTAAAATCAACAACATTTTTTAAATCGATGTCAGGGTCACCAATCCGAAGACAATTTTTTACATACAATTATTTATACTACAGAATATTTACAACGATTTGTATATGATCAACACTATACATTGCTTTATTCTAGTCAAAACGTTGACTATATGCAGGTATACCAGATAATGAAATCCGAATGCTGCTAATTGGAAAAACCGGAGTGGGCAAGAGTACAACTGGAAACACCATTCTCGGATTCAGAGCATTTGACACAAAGACCTCTGCCACATCAATTACAAACCAAGTCCAATATAATTCTTCTGAACGCTTTCATAAAAATCTTCTTGTTGTTGATACTCCGGGTCTTTTTGATACCAATAAAACAAATGAAGACGTAAAACTTGAAATTTTGAAGTGTTTTGGAATCACTTCACCAGGTATACATGCTATTCTGTTAATTGTGCAAGTTGGAAGATTTACAGAGGAAGAGGAAAAAACTGTCGATTTCTTCTTAGAGGTATTTGGAAAAGATGTCAAGAATTACCTCATGGTAGTGTTTACCGGAAAAGATAGCTTAGATGATGAAGGAACATCGCTAGAAAATTACGTTGAATCATACGACAACACATCTTCTCTGAAAACCCTTCTAGGCGAAGTAGAAGGCAGATACACAGCAATAGGGATTGGAGGCAACATTACCGAACGCGAGAACGAGGTCAAACAAATTATTAGAATAACTGAAGACATGAACATGAAAAATAACGATATCGGTTACACGAATGAGATGTACGAGAAAGCCGAGGCCATACACAGACAGAAGCAAGAAGAACGTGTTAAAGAAAAGATGGAAACCGGAAAGGTGTATACAGAAACTGAAATGAATCAGATGTACACGGATGCTAGAAAGGAAGAACGAATTCATATTGTCAACAACAACCAGAGCGAAGGAAGCTTCCTCTGGGCTTTTGCATCTGCATGTGTCTTTTTCATAGGCAAATTCTTTGGTATCTTTTGATATTTATTTCAAATTCTTCTTTCAATATAAGATGTTATTAATTACACAAAAATCATTTTATGTATATTATATGAATTAAATAGAGCTATAGCTAGTTGTGTTTTATTGCAATCATTAAAAAGTTCGAACTTCATATCCACTGAGTTTATTTCAAATGTGTAACACCGCAGATTGATATTGATTTATGATAAACTGCATTTGAAATAAATTGAGGAACTCCAGCATCCTTTTAATATCAACTTTAGAGTACTTGTGTGTAGAATCAGGGTGTAAAAGGGGCACAGTACACAAAAATTGCAATTAAAATTCAGATATTTTAGGATCAAAATCTTTAATTCGTCATAAAAAATTGAAGATATATAAATTTGAAATATTTTATTTATTATGATACTATTTAACATAAAAAATACGATGAAAGTGTATGTGTACAGTTGTTCATGCACATATATCAAACAGAAATAATAGTAAGAAACCTATGTTCCTACGGGGATTTCGTCATTCTCCAAGTTGCACAGTGTCACTCTTGCCAAATTCTTTGACCTGTCCCTTTTTTTTTAGTTTCGTTCTTCACATACTTAGAAAAAACCGTTTCACTCATTTTCAGATACTAAGGACTGGAAAATATTCCCATGTGTATCAGACATTTATGACTTATGCTTAAAAGTTTCTGTAAGAGTGAAATCAAGATAAGACCTTTTGATAACATTCCAGTGCGCCGCCTGTGTCAACGCCACCGCCATTTTTCAACATTTCAAACTAGTACATACATATATAAAACATTATGAAACTCATATTAATTAAAGTATATACAACTAAGTAACAGGGATTTCAACAACCTCGTTTAAAGTCAGCTTTCTGTAAATTCTATGGTCGTTATAATATAAATGACCTTGTTAGCAAATGCAACCTATCACTGGGTCGTATTTTGGATGACTTGTTTCATACCAACTGCATTGTTAAGCTTTTTTTTTATTTTGAATTTGACTACGGAATGTTCCGTCTACCTGATCAATACATAGAGCTTAGCGGCGACCAGTCAACAACGGGTGCTTACTCCTCCTATACACCTGATCGTGTGCAATTTCATATTATAAAAATACTAAATGAACAATTTATATTGTTTATATTTTTTTAGATCGATCACTGTTCGTTATCTTCATCTTTTGATTACACCAGAAATGAAATATTCATTCAAATAAGGTTCATCTGTAAACTTATTCATTGTTGGTTTATCATATGTATAAAGTTTCAATAATTTAGGACAACGAATTCCTACAAAACTACATTTGTTTAGGGAATTTTGGGACAACTATAGTTTATTCCAATATAGACACCCTTAATAATATTCCATTTAAATAATATGTTTTACATTAATTTTAGCCGTAAACGATATCGTTTAATCGTGTGCAGTTTCATAACATAAAAATGCTAAATGAACATGCTTAGCTATTTACGTGAATAATGTTTAAGTCTTTAAATAATCTAAAAGTTTTCTTCTCCAACCTGCTTTCTATAATATCAATCTGGCCTGGAGGTTATAAAACTTTCTGAGTATGTACTCAGTGCTCAAACTCAAACTCCGTACTCCAAAACCATACTCATGCTAAAAATCCCTCTTTAATTTGTATATGAAATTTGAGTATGAGTAAGGTTTTAGAGAACGGAGTATGAGTTTGAGCACAGAGTATGTACTCAGAAAGTTTTATAACCTCCAGGCCTGTCTTCGTTATTAGACTTGAATTCTATCTATTTAATAACAGATGATGCAGATTTTAAAAAATGGATTCAAGAATCAGTATATGTTTTTGGACTTACGGTGTATTTTGGTTGTAAATGATGCATGTATCAATTTTCTAATGTACAAAGAAATTGTAGACTTTTACTATGTTCAAACGTCTACTTTTTGCCATAACCTTATAAATCTATGCAATTTTTTTTTTATCGTTTTAAGACATTAATAAGAAACTTTAGATAAAAAATAAAACTTTATAGGGTTAGACTTATTTCATATTACCTATGTAAGCATGATATAGACCCTTATTTTCATGATTTTTTTTAAGTTTGTATCATCTATCCATAATTTGATGTAGCTTATAGTTTTGTTTTCCGTTAGTGTATTGGCTCAGATGAGGATAATAGGAATATAGGATTTTTCCTGCCAAGAAAATAATTTTCCAGGTATAAACCGTTAAACGATCATTGTAAACAATGTTTTTTGAAGCATCTTGAAGCATCATTCTCGATATTATTATCCACATGTTGAGTTTAGGAGAGGATTTCTCTGTGGTTTAGAAACCTTTTAATTTAAATTCAATTCTATCGGATAAACATGATTACATTTATTAATATTGATTAACAGTAATGTCTTTTACAAATATTTCTTTTTTATTCACAATTTTATACATGACACTGAAAATTTAACATCATGGGTTTCATCTTATTCAATATTATCGTCAACTGAATTTTTGTCGTTTACAAATGTTTTATTAAAAATATTTAAATTGTACGGAACAGTATGGATAACAATCTTTTGGCTTTCGAGACCAAAAGGAAAATTTTTAATCATTTTTGTTTGATGGGATATCATAATTATTTAATAAAATAACTTGGCAGTTGATGAAAAGGAAATTTACATAATTAATAGCACCGCCGACGTCACATTGGAGTAAAACACATGCCGTGCCAATATTGAATGGGTTTGTAAAATATATGCTAGTAAGGTTGACGCCGTGGGAATTGGTACCAAATAAATCTTGCTATTACACTGAATGAATTTTAAAATTGTGGTTTACTGGGTCATATTAAAAGAGTGCTATTAGCTTAAGACACACTTTATATATATCAAAAGTACACTCTCTTTTATAATACTCTTTTTTGTCATTGTTGTAACAAATCCAATAGAAAAAGGAGGAAATACTTGACAATAACATAAAACATATGTAGGTACATCTCTGATGAGGTGAAAACATCAGGGTCTTTCAAAATTCGAAAACGCTTATAGGATTTAACTTTTTCACCGACTTAAAATACAGTATATCTAAACTAACAATCTTTTATAATTATTGTTACAATTTATGTTAAATTGTTAATGAGGTCCTAAAGACGAAGAATACATATTCAAATAGCATTAAAATCGTTTCCCCTTTCGATGTTCATAGTAAGTCTCGATTGACCTCAGTTCTCTCAAAATATCTACTTTTTCGAATTAATAATAATATACTTCAAAGAAAGTTTAAAATGAAAATTTCTGTAATGCAATACTTTACATTGTAAAAAAGCACATATTATTTTAAGAAGTGGTTTCTTGTTGTTCAAAAGTTAAATATAGGCGATATGTTATATAGCAACAGTGGTATAAAAATTGGAGAACCATTGACTAAGATTTGAACTTTGTTCAATTTCCCTTACCCATCAATTCAATGCCAGTGTAGTGTCATTTTTTGTACCAGGTTTTTTTAAGCACAACTCCATTCTGTAAAAAACATAAGAAATTTTTTTCAGAGATAAAAATAAATAAATAAATAAGGAACCCTTTTGTAAGGTGGCTTCGATTCCAGGCTATCCAGCACTTTTTGTCAAAAAATAAGGGAGCATTTTAGGGATAAATTAAGAAACTATAGAGCTATTAAAGAATGAAATTAGGAATTGTAATTCTAAATATTTTTTTGTATTTCCCCCTTGATTTCAAAATTATTTTCAAGGAATTTTAGCAAAAATTTAAAAAGTGATTTGGGTTTTAAAGAAATTTTAGGGCCTCTGAACAGCCTGTATTCTTCATATCCTGGTGAGGTATCTTTAGTCAACTGTTATCTTACTGTAATCCTGAAATAACTGCAAGTCACAAAAACTATCATCCTCAAGGGGCAGCTGAAGTTCAGGTTTACTGACATCAAAGAAGTTGGTGTCAATACAACAATACAAATATATCTGTAAATCTGCTTTGTTATGAAATATGGAGAAAACGAAAGTACTCAAGCTCAAAATCCATTTAAACAATGCAAATTGGGAGCAGAGCAAACACGGACCTCCAAGAACACCGGAAGCGAGATCTGGTGCCAAGGAGGAGTGAGCATCCCTTGCCGACTGGTCACACCCGCCGTGTGCTCCTTGTCATGATCGGGAAAAATGGGGAAAAAATCGTAGACAATTCAGTGTTTAAATAGTGGCCTAACAGTTAGTATGAAAAACGTCAGTCAGCATTTGACTTAATGATAGGTTTTACATGTATTTGCTGACAAGGTCATTGTATTGAGCATAAAACTTGCGAAATGATGACTTCAAACGAGACTGTTGATATCCTCGTTTCATCAAATTGTTTGTCAATAGCTTGCCTCGTTTTAGAAATGTTTCATACGTCGAGCATACTCTTGCGTATCGAATCAACTGGGAGACAAAAACCCCATATGCAGGTGATGATGGTATATTGCTACATAAGTAAGATTAAAAAATAAGATTAAAAAATTGAAGTCATCACGTTTATCATAAAGCTTTGTTGTTGGGTTACCATTAAAGTCTTTTCCTAGTAAAATATTCAAATATGAAACAGAAGTGTCAGAATCTGTGGTAATTTCTTTTCTTTAGGTTGTTTAATTATAGACTACTTATTTCCTATATAATGATGTGCAATATTGCATCATTAGCTCTCTAAATTGCTTAATTATATTACTGCAGTTTCATATCATTTGGTTTAGGTGTTCACACTTTTGATTCGGGGACTATTTTTAAGAAGTATAGGACCGAGAAAAAAGACAAATATCAAAATCATTACTTTTTTAGATTCTTTGACATTAAATTGTGCAACCATTTAAATTGAATTAAATTTCACAAGTAGTGTATTTTATATTTATATTAGATAATGGGTTGGAAGATCATTTTATGCCTATTTACTCTGCGAAGCCGTAATAAAACAATCTCCCACGGAGTAAAATGAAGTTCGATATCGCTCTAAGGATTATTTTAATTGCTTAAGTAAATAGAACTTGAAATATTCCCACTTAAGAAATGCAATATTAAACGCAGAAGACGTTTAACACATCCCGAATCATTGTTCACTGTATTTGGAACAGTCTGTAAATTGCGTAATATAATGCTAATATAGAGACACGCTGAACTTTTATACTTGATACCTTTGCTCTTGCTATGAAAAGGTTCTTTGGATTGCTTAGACTTTTCTTCTATACGGGTAACTCTATATTGGAAAAAGACATTGATAAATTGCCTTAACGATACAAACAGATTAATATTAATTATTCATTTAACAAATGAAATTAAATTGGGTAAATCATACACGTATGACATGCATCTGATTGAGAAGAAATTATTTGAAAGGGTAAAAAAAACTTGTTTATAGTCGGTCTTTCATGGTATCAAGTCATCACATTTTGCACTATATTTCAAAAAACAGTGTATAAATACATAAGCATTTAAACTAGATTCAATCACAACCACCAGCGTTGAAAACAACCATCGAGTTCAATTATACGTATACTGACAGGGCAGAAAATTCAAATCTAAGGGATTTGACATTACAAAAAATGGCTGCCACCTCGGGAAAGGATTCATCAATATTCGTGATTTTCTTTTGCCTGTCATCAATAAAGATATAATGTTCGTTCGAAATTGATTTTTTTAATATAATCCAAGAAATAATCACCATGACAACTTGCCCGCCCGCTTTACAGTAAACCCTTTAACTGCCGCTAGGGTTCGATAACTCATTACCTGAAGTGTTTACAGCTGGTGCGAGAAACGTGTAGCTACTTTTTGAGAAGTGTGTCAATTTCTTGCGTTTACAAAGCATTCTTGAAGTTTTACAGTGCACCGGTGACTTTTGTTTTAACATTAAGCACAAATGGTAAATTAATTTGTTATAGTTACCAAAATTGTACGATAATATTTACCCATACGAAAATGTCAAGTTGACAGTCAACTAGTCGTCAACTGAATACTCGAAAACAAATAACCACTAGGAGTTGAATGCTTTTCTGAAAAGCTGTCAACTGTTTTGCATAAAATGGTCAGTTGACCGTCAATTGCCTGGTTTTCAGCGGGTTGACCATTAGTTGAATGCTAGTGCTTTGAAAATTTCATGCGAGGAAAGAGTTGACCATTGTTGAACACTCCGACTTTGTGAAATCTTGCAGAGCTGACTATAGTTGACCACTAAGTGTTAGAAAATCCCTCGGACTCTATTTATGTTTGATTTGGAATGACATTATTATAGATCGGGTTTGCAATTCCATAATTCTTACAACAATCTAGATTTGAATCAAGTAATCAGTGTGTGTTTTGTTAAAATGTGGAGAGTTTTGAATTGAAACGATTGTTTTCATGAATGATTCAGCTTGTGCAATCCATGAAAGTATAAAATTTAAAGATTTTTCTTTCTTTATATCTTTTCTAAAAGATATTAGAAAGACATGATACTGTAGCTAGTACTGTAGCTAGTACAGTGTATAGGTCCCTACTATAGTGTACTTGTTGAAATATAAAAGAATTCCGGTAACTTGTATTCCATTAATTGTTTTGTTGTGTTTCTTGTTGTGTTGTTGGCAAAAATATGCCATTGCTATATAGACTGAATCTAATTTTTCTGCACAGAAAATAAAGGAGGCATGGTAACTTGTGAGAGTGTGCCAGCTCAATTTATTTTTATGCATTTACATACATGTATATCATTTTAGTAGCCCCATTGTTTTGACTATTCCTACTCAGATACATGGCAGCTTTTCCAAGTATATGTACTGTTTGCCTTTGGTTTTCAAAACTCCCTCCATTTTTTTAAATGCAACATATGCACTGACTAATGGAGTATTCAACAGTGGTCAACTGCAAAGAAAATAGAGGAGTATTCAACTAATGGTCAACTGCAAAGAAAATAGAGGAGTATTCAACTAATGATCAACTGCAAAGAAAATAGAGGAGCGTTCAACAGTGGTCAACTGTAAAGAGAAAAGAGGAGTATTCAACTAATGGTCAACTGCAAAGAAAATAGAGGAGTATTCAACTAATGATCAACTGCAAAGAAAATAGAGGAGCGTACAACAGTGGTCAACTGTAAAGAGAAAAGAGGAGTATTCAACTAATGGTCGACCACAAAGAAAATAGAGGAGTATTCATCTAATGGTCAACTGCAAAGGATATATAGGAGCATTCAACAGTGGTCATCTATATGCAAATGAGTTGAACGCTGTACACATTTGCATGGCAAAAATTCAACTAATGGTCAATTGACGGTGAATTGATCGTCAACGAACCTTGAACTGAATACCCCAATTGAATTTTAATAGTATTTTTTCGTATGGGTCATGTATAAGCGATTGTTCGTACATGTATACAGGAAACCCCCTACGTTCTCTTTCCACAAGGTACCTAACTCAGACACCCCCACTTCAAACTCGTATTTTATAAATTTATCAATCATTAACCTACTTTAACAAGACATAGTTTGCTTTGAGATACTTTTTTTCCTTTTCTAATAAATCGTTCCGGACGTCCTTAGTCGAGCCTCTGTATTGTAAACCAATGGTCTCAACACATTTTTTTAAAGATTTTACAGAGGATATATCAACTTTCGGTTAGGCTTATAGTGTAGGATAAAACCAGAGACTTCCGAGCTTTTCATTCTGTTATCGTCAAAAACGATATGAGAGCGCTCATGTTGGACAGAATATTGTTATTTGACATTTGAGTATATTCCTTCATCTTACTATTGGCTGATATATATATGCCTTAATCAATTTATCCAACATTATGCTTTTTGATTGTACATGCACAATGCCTACCCATTTATCAACTATTGGTTCTTGCAGTATAAAACAGTCAGCAACGTCATTCTGCACATCAAAAATGATCATAATTCAACCCTTCACAAAATATTCGTTTACAACGATAGTATTCTGAATTCGAAGATTTCCAAACCGATTGCACATTGTGTTTCTTCGTCAAAATATAAAAAAAGGTAGTTATTCAAATGTCCGTCTGAAATGTGTCTAAATTACCAGATTTAAAAATTCTTTGGGATATGAAGTGGATTTGTACGTGTTAAAAACTTCTGAGAAGCACTTTCACAGGATTTGAGCACATGAAAACCCCAATTCATACAAAAAAGAACTTAATGTGAGCGATTTTTATTTTGGCGAATTTGTATGAATAGCCAAAACAGGCCAAAATTACATCCCCTCCAAAAATACCTACGAATCTACGCCGTAACGGTACGGTACTATAATGCTGTTTCTTAACATTGTAACCCTACATTGTAGTAAGTCTCAACTCCATCTACATTGTATTTTGCAGGAAAATTTTACAGAGTACAAGTAATTCTGGGGAGAAAGTTGCCTGAATTTCGTCCATAATTATTATTTGAGTGTTGGCCACAGGTTCGTGTGGGTTTAAATACAGTGAAATCAACCACAACGGTCGTTGCCCTTTTTTCATCAAACAATTAAGGTATTAATGTTGATTTTTGTAAAAGTATGTCTCGAAAATCTGACGTCGAAATTTCCTATTTGATGTAATTAATGCATGTTTTGTCCGCGTGTTATTTGCATCTCACCTATAAGTAAATCCACAAAAGCCGGGTACCAGATATACAAGGTCCTCTATAAAGGGTGGGAATTTAAAATATATCCGTATATATTCCGTCAATTACAAGCCATTAACTCTAATTACTGGCTTAAAAGTGAAGGCTGCACAGGTAGCGTTAGTTTTAAAGTTTATTTTTACAACCTGTCAATCATCAAGGAGGTAACAGGTGGTATAAGCGCGAGCATGCCTGACAAAGACTAGTATGTTAGTTGAATCGAAGGTGATAACGCTGCACAAAGTTCGATTCAAATGTAATTGATATACCTTGAACGATATCAGTACTGAATTGTTAATGCAGGTGCACACAGTGATAAAATGGAGTCTTCTACAGACCGAATTTCCTCAAAATTGGAAGTTTTAAAAGCAGATTTGGTAAGGATTTTTTTTCCTAAGTATAAGTTTGAAATATTGTACTTTTATTTTAACATTTTCAAGATTTTTTTCGTCTTTTAGATCAGAGATATGCAAATGTATTCTACGAGGTTAACAAGAAATTTGTTTTATGTAAAATATCTCATTTTTCAATAAAATTTATGTTCAACATTTTTGTTGAATTAGTTTTAAAATCCGATATGTTCTTTAAATGGGACTTATTTTTACATTTATTTAGTTTGTTTTATGCGATAATTGAAAGTGTTAACATATATGTAGTTGACTTCCTATATCAATGAGGTCCTAAAAATTTCATGTTTTTCCTCAAAACACAGGCAAATAGTATCGCGGGGATGTGGGCTCCCCCTACTTTTTTTTTTACTGTGGAAAATGTTTATTGGAATAGCGTCCCCCTGAACACACACCTTATGCTTCAATATCGTCAAACGCCCCATGGTAATTTATTAATAAAATTTGTTTTTGGTAAAAAATTGGAAACAAATTCACCTGCACCAATTTTTTTTTTTCTGCATGTCAAAGAATTTTCAACAATCCCCAATTTTCTTCTGACTGGCCTCCCCCTCCTTCCCCCCCCCCCCCCCCTCGCATTTTCAAAAACGATACTACTTGCTTGTAACAACAAAATTACATTTACTCTTTTGTTGCTTCTTCTTTTTGTCTTGTTCCAAACAAAAAGAAATTAAATTTAGTAGAAATTAAACGTTCGAACACAACTTATTTTATATTTTTTTTAGATTTTGACCTAGTGTCGTAATGAATGGACAAAATTTCATTTTATATTTTTATCAATCATTTTTTTTCCCTGAATCAGTGTCTTTGATAGTTGAGCCGGTTTTAAATAAACAACAAATTTATTGTATCTTTTATCAATCGATCAATGCGAAATTTTCATCCTTATGTAAACAATCAAATAAATTTATCCTTTATAGGCGTCCTGTCTGTCAATGGATGAAAAGGAAGCTATTCATATAATGGTTAACATAAATCATATCTTACAATGTGAGGAGAATGGAAATTAATTTCCCATTCATAATTCGAATGCAAACCAGGCCAATATTGACGTTGATATATTAAGAAAAGAAAATCGTAAATATCCTTAAACGAAAACTCATTAAAGTATAATCTTAAATACAAACAATTCAATATTATTTTACACACAACAACTTCACTTTGTTTGATAACACCTCGCATAGATAAAAATGTGACATGAGTTGTATTTCGAATAAAATTTTAAGATCTGTGGCACCACTATTAAGTGGGTTATTAATTTCTAAAATGTTATTCCGTCGCGACATGTGGTAAAGAATAGGTTTAACACAATGCCATGTAAAATTTTCTTTTCAGAATGACACAGGCTAACGCGATTTTCGTGAAATAACAGTGGTTAGCATGCACCATTTAATGCACACGATTAAGCTATATGAATAAAAGTCACAGGATTTTCTTCAAGGATCTTTTATTTTTTATCAAGTAAAACGTGTTTGAAATATTTATTCGCGTAATATCTGATAACTGCATTTCCTAGTGAAATGAAAACACAAAATTATAAATTTTCTGCTAGATACCCTCAGAGGTATCTAGGATTTCAATCAAAAACATTTTCAAATTCTATCAGTCGTTTTAATTTACCGTGACACATCAACGCATTCTTCTTCATTTGAAAGTTTAAAGTAAAAGTGGCGTCTTAATTGCGGTTCGTCAACTGTAAAAATAAAAATTGAGTGTGCTGTAAAACTGAAGGTGCATGATTATGTACGAGTCATACTGCCTTAGTGTTATAAGATTTTTGTAGATAACGTAACATTACGAAGTAAAAGTCATATGTCAACTGTTATATTTCTAAAGTAATTTTTTTAGCAATGGCTGATAATGAAATAAAAAGACACATTTTTTTTACCCAAAAATAGAACGTCGCGAAAAGAAAATATGTTTTGAAAAAAGAGAAACAAAACCCACATCTTATTCAATGTAACTTTTCATTTAGAGCACTTGCCTAGACAAATGCTGTAAAACTTAAATTGTCATATCAAAATACTTTTTTCACTTCGATTATCGTAAATTACCATACACAAACTTCTTCATTTCTCTCGCACCAGCGGACCTCTGTCTCGAGTTTTCCAGTTATTTACACTGTATAGAAATCAACAATTTAACACAAACTTCGGCTATTAATTGGTCGTTTAGAGTCAGTCACGGAGACATTTCATCCTCTTGTACCTCCCAACCTTTGAATGCAAGCTTTGTGTTTATTTGGTGGTTTTAATAGCTGTTTTAGAATTAATTCAATCTAAACAGGGCTAAAAATGTTCACAAACGCAGTGTTGAATTTTACAACTAAAAATATTTAAAAGCATGAGGAAACTATTATTATATCTATTATTTTCATTTGTAGCCAAAGAATTCTGTTTGAAAACTGTACTTCTGAGTGCACTGTCCTAGTCCTCACTCAAATACATTATGAACATCAGTTCCACATAACACAACTTCTTTTGTATTTAACAGAAAGCAATGAGGTTACAAGATGTAAAGCTAATGAAGCAGCTGATAGGAATAAATGAATCTATCCAGAGTCTAGCAAAATCCCGCCAGCGGACCTCAAGTAGGGGACCGCAAGTAATGTCCACTGCCGACTTCAACGCTACGGCCACCCCTCTCGTTAGACAACAGAGTGCTCCGTCTTACAACAAACTACATAGGAACAACAGCACAGGGTCCATCGAGTCAATTGAAGGTATATTAGATGCATTAATGTTTTTGAATGAAATTATAGCTGACTAATATGTTGACGGTGAGACCATTGGGGCGAGCGCATTGTTCACTCAATTTTAAGATCCGTCTCTTCAAACGAGACATTTGGAACGTCTAGACTGTGACGTCACATGACGTCGTACAGTGCAGGGAACTAATTTTGTTACATAAACCAGCATCAGCATAAGCATTAGTAGCATCAGGATCGAGCTAGCATCAGCATCAGCATTTAAAAAAACAGCATTACCAGGATCAGCATCAGCAAGCAAAGGATAGAACCAGCATTGACCTACATAAAATCAGCATTATCCTACCAGCATCAGAAAATCAATGAGTTTTAATTCAGTAAAAATTAAAAAAGAAAGAAAGAATATTGGTTAAAGTATTCACATTATTGATACGTAATGAGATATTATGATCAAATAATTGTAAAAGGCACTTTTATTGCTTTAAACGGCAATGCTGAAATTCATTATCTACTTCCGGTAGCATGATGCTACTTCCGGTAGCATTGACCTAATTATAAAACAGCATCAGGATAAGGATTACAAGCATTAAATCAGCAAGCAAAGGAAGCATTCAAATCAGCAAGCAAAGGAAGCATTCAAATCAGCATCAATGCTGTAACAAAATTAGTTTCCTGCACTGTATGTAAGCTGCATTTCCATAAACAAAGTTTGAAAAATGCAAAATTTTAAAAACGTTTAATCTACTATCTGTATGCAATATATATCCATTAAGATGAGTTTATTTTTTTGTGAATTTTTAGTTGTTGTTACCGCGTGAACGTAGTTAGCAGCGAGAACAACAAGCGATGCATTGTGGGTCCAGAATTAATCTATTGAATGAATGTGCAGTTGTCCGAATTTTCTCTTCGCCCAGGCGTTGTCGTTAGAGCTCGCAGTGAAGCGGCGCTTCGCGCCGCTCGCTGCGCTCGCTATGAAGGAACTTAAAATGCGCTTTCAATTGAATTCATGTATATTTTTGAAGGAATCTTTAAATTGTGTCATTGTTTGTTAACAGAGGATATGTATCAATATATGTGTACTTTTTTGATCAGACTTATTTTAACTTTGAATACTTTATTTCTTTATAGAAATCGGAAGTTCCGTTGAAGACATCAACGAAGAAACAATTGAAGAGCTTGAAGATTACTTAAATTGTTCGATGACGTCACTTCCTCCTCCAATACCCACAATTCCAAAATCCCACTCTCTTGCAGTGATGACCCCACTTCCGGACGAAGAAGACGAAGCAGACGACAGCAAGTACGAGGGGATTTTAATGACAAATATCAAACTCTGGAAATATTCACAACAGAAGTGTCAGCAGAAGACGTGAAATATCTTTCAGTTTAACCAACTGAAGGCAATTATACGTGTGCCATGAACATAACAGGCATTCGTCTCCCATGTGACGTCATGACCGAGTTTTAACTAGCTAGATGAGATGTGAACTGTAATGTATATGAAAAAACTATATTTTGAAGCACAGTTTTATGTGATTCTGTTTTACAAAAATTGTGTCTTGTTTTTATTTATGCGTACTTTATTTTCAACTGCTTCAAGGATAAAGTGCATTGCGCTGACACTTCATTAAGATGAAAATTGTATTGAAAAATCAACATTTTATCTTACAGTGTTAGCAACCACAAATGTAAATATGCAGTTGAAGTCAGTATAAAAGACTTAGAGTCAAGGAAAAAGTGCAATAAAAGACTATTAACGGTAACATTATGTCTGTGGAGGTCATTATTGATGGTGTTCAGGAAGTCCCGCATGGTGTGTACGTCTTAAGGAAGATCATTGTGCCGATGTGTGACATTCTAATTAGTTGACAATTGATGTTTATTATTATTTATGAAGCAGAAATAAATGAAATGAAAAGGAACATTCTGTTTTCTTTTTCCATATACAGGTAAATCATCATTTTACCATTTACAAGCAAAAACGTGATGAAAAGATTTTGCAAATTTCTTTTTTACATATAAATTTAATAAATTGCACTTTATGAAATAAACTTTAGTATGTACGTATAAAAACAATTTGTAGGCAGCATCAATTTTATGGCATAAGTACTGAAATTATTATTGAATACTGCAGATGAAAACATTCATTTACTTTTATGAACAGGGTCAGAGGTTAAATATATATGCAAGTATTTCTAAATATATTTATTGAAATTGTTTTATGACCAGTCTTTGAACTTCGTCTTTACATTTCATGTATGTATGATCTGATCAATGCTTTCATGACTAAATAAGCTTTCGTTCCATAAAATGCAACAGCCGAATATTGTGTCATATAATTTAATGTCTCTCGCATATAATAAAAATCTGCATTATATTTGATAACTTAAAGATAGTCAAAATTCAGACTTTATAAAGTATAAACAGACTGAAGCTTCACTCCTGGTGGGCTGCCCCCTTCAGTCACTAAACTCTACTTTCACTTTAAGAATGACAACAGATAGAAAATTTATGATTGATGGATCACAAAGAATAATTTAAAATTAAAGTAACTTATTAAGTCTCATGAAACTTATTAGTCGAAATATATTCATGCATTAACGGAAAGAATTTGAAAGAAAATAAAAACATATATAGTGTGCACATAATTTGTACAAAAATTTATACAAATGCCAAATCAAACAGGCGCGAAGCATCGTTGACCAAAGTTGGGGAGGAGGCAATTAAGCCAGGTACACCCGAGCTCCTCGCGTGGCTCGTGCCTCGCACATGTACAATGATGTGATCCAGTCCGAAATTCCTCCAAGTATTATCCCTTTGAAGTCTGAGTTACTTTGTGGCACGTCTCACACTGGGTTTCTGCTTTCAAATACTACTAACAGAAGATTTTAATGAAAACCAATAAACGAGAAAACATTAGACAAGTTAGGAGACTTTTTTGGTGAACTTTATGCATTGCGAAATATGAAATGAGGTAAAAGGCAGTTCCGGCAGAGAAATGCGTCGATTTGTTGCATATCCCTCCACCAATCACATCCGAGGTTTGTAGGCCGAGGACATATACATGTAACAACTGTCACCAATATTTTGGGCTAGTCCCTGCCCTCCCTCCTTTCCCTTCTTTCTAATTGCCTGTCAAAAAAGTGATCGAACATATTCATGAAGCTCACCAAGTGCTCTAGACATACATGAACTGTCTGCTTTAGCATGATTTGCTGGACTAAGTTCAATCTTCTGTTTAGATTTGAAATGCAGATGTGATAATAGCTTGAAACAAGATATTGAAAGCACTTTACTTTCGTTCCTCCAAACTATCTTGTGAAAAGGCGTCATAAATTTACATTCTTGATGATTATTCATTATACTGTGTCGTCTTAAAGATTGTCCTTATGAAAAAGTGATTGGAAAACCCTCAATCACTATCAATCTTATATGACATACATAGAACCACATAACACAATAAAAACTTTTAACACTGAGAAAATGATTTATGTAATATTCGAAGAATTACAATTAACTGACAGCAAACAATTTATTTTCTAGTTTAGTTCACTTCCGGTTATCTGTTTCTCAACAATTTGAAAAAGAACTGCTTTTCTATTTTGATTTTTTTTAAATCACATGTATAGAAGTAAATTTGATTTCAGTTCTTGACTAGTTTTATTTAGTGTGTTGTTCAGTTTTTTGCTTAGGAAACGTCTTCATTTCTAACGCTCAACTCCATCTACAAAAATATTGATACAGAGTGTGCAGTGCTGAGTTCACATTGGTTTTAATTTATGACACAAATACATAACTTCACCTTGACCCTCGATTTAACAAAATTATTCCTCGATAATAACATGTAATTGTGAAATGTATATCCCTAAGAAAAACTAATTGAACTAATTCACTTCAAAAAAAAAATTCTTCCATTTGGTTCCGACAATGTATCACATGGTATCTATCATTATGAATGCGACAGAGAAATAAATCTGCACCATTATACATTTATTTATAAGCCATTAAGATACAAATATCAATCAATATATGCACAGGAAAGGGGGAGAAAGTAACAATATTTTTATTAATATATTGTGCATAAAATACTTATAAACACACTGTCTTTTTGTATTGTAATAATTAGTACTTATGCTTCGCCATGTGGTATGCAATGCGAGAATTACTGAATATCCCCGCTTTGCATTAGGAGACACGATGACACTATATCAATTATCATTATTACTTATTATTGAGAGTTGAAGTCACGTGACGACATGGTGTAGGCGACAGTTTTTGTCGGTCCGTAAAATATGTGAATTTTTCAAAAGGAAAATCATGGATCACATAGTGAATCAGTGTCACAGGTAACAAATGTATCTTGTAACTGTATATGATCAGAAAAGTCAAGGCACAGATGCTAAAACTTGTATTTTAAAGCCTAAATGTTGTTGAGATGGTCAACGGTCACCGTTGAGTACAGTTCACTACAAGTACAAACGGCATCATCGCTTACAAATACAAACGAGTTTACTTGTGTATTGTTAGCAAACCCAAATCTATTTGTGACTGTGTGATTCTATGTTTAATCTGTGTGTATCTTATGAAAATTAATGATGGGTGGAAGAGGCTATTCAACAAATAAAAGCTCAAACAGAGGCAATAGAGGTAACAGAGGTAACAAATAATCAAATGTTCATTCTGATCCTTCCGCTTCTATCCTGTTCTCTACTCAAAAGTCATCACATAAACCTAAGTCATCGAAAAGATTCAGACCTAGTTCAAATTCAGATTCTGATCTTTCACAAGACCTGGTTGAGCTCAGTAACCTTTTAGACAATCTATCTGGTAACAAAGAACTACTTAAACAGGCCACAAGCATTATACTGGACAAACCCGAAATAAAAAATTGTATTCTCAAGGAATTATCAACCGAAGTTAGAGAACTTAAGGCTAAAACTACAGATCTAGAATCTCGTCTCGATGATTTGGAACAATATTCCAGAAAAACCTGTTTAAAATTTTCCGGAATTCCGGAGAGAGACAATGAAAACACAGATGAGATCATTTTAAACATAACAAATAAATTAGTTCTACCAGTAGGTGTCGAGAAACTGGACAAATTTGCAATCAGTACCTCCCACCGACTTGGCCCACCACGCCAGGATAGACCGAGGGATATCATAGTTCGGTTTGTACGGTGTAATGACAAAGCTACAATTTACAAAAACAAATCCAACCTTAAAGGGTTCAACACAAATCAAGACAATGGTTACAAAATTTATATCAATGAAGCCCTTACTCAGCGGCGTGCAATCCTATATGCCAAAGCTAGACAGGCGCTGCGAAACCAGATAGTAAAGGGATGCTGGACCACAGACGGCAAAATTTACATCAAAACAAACGATGACAAAAGAGTGACTATTAGGTCACAAGATGACCTAGACGCACTTAACACTAACGAACAAGTGAACAGTGACTGTGAAACAGACACGGACGAAACAAGCGAACCAGCTATCAGTGATCAAACCAAACGTAACTCGTTCTCCGACGTTGTAAAAAATAATAAAGACGAACCGGTGGACAGCACAAGAGCCGCCGATACAGCCAATTCCTAGATATGTATCAACCATCAACCCGCTTTATCACAAAATTTAACATTTCATCAGTGCAATTACAGATATACGTGGGCAATTCACAGATATAGCTAAATCAATCCCAGTTAATTTAAAGTATATAATTCACTTATTACGGACCCTTGTACATAATTATATCAGTTTTGAATGTTGCATGTCATTACGTTGTCTTATATCCTGATATATTGTCATGTATTGTTTGGGAACTCACTTGTAGATGAGTCGCTTCCCAAACAAATTTGTATTGAAGATTTTCTTTTGTTTTTGTTCATATTTTTTCTGTTTGTATGTGAAATGCTGTTTATTTGTTTCCAATTTTCTGTTTTTAAAACATCCACAGTTTTATATATCTACAACTGTCAACACAGTTATTACAAACAAACAAAACCAACTCTTAGACCTTATGCATATCGTGTACATTTTTTACATAATTTTCCGTTTTGCGGCAAATTCAATGTCCTTAGACCTGACATTATAGACAATGGGTAACAGCATAGAGCAATATAGAGCCGCAATTGGAACTTTTTACTTTGTGTGTAGGTGTGTAACTTGCTCGTCAATGTTTGTTTTTCTTACACTGCGTGATATTTTGAACTTATTCCAACAAGTGACTCGAAAATGTCTTTTGAAAAGTTTTTATGTTGGTAAAATTCTGCCTATACACATAACTTTTTTCATGCAATTTTTTGCTTTTATTTTGTTAATATCTGGTGATATAGAAACAAATCCAGGCCCTATTTATGACAATGTCCTTGACATTTTACACCTAAATATTAGAAGTCTCAGGAACAAAATTGACCCACTTAAAGCCATAGTAAATGAATTTGATATTGTGTGCTTTACTGAAACGCATCTCGACGACAACATTTTGAATAGTGATATTTATTTAGACGGTTTTAATTGTATTTTTCGCAAAGATCGAAACTCTTTCGGAGGCGGAGTCGTTATTTACACAAGTCACAATATTCGAGCTCACAGACGAATGGATCTTGAACCTGTCAATATTGAAGCTATCTTGTTAGAAATTGATAATCCTACCTCTCAATTTTTCTTATGTTGTGTTTACCGTCCTCCGAACGCAGATTCCACTTTTTGGAGAAACTTTTCGTGGTCTTTAGACAAAATAGGTGAGCTTTCTGACAAAATCATAATTGTTGGCGATATAAATGTTGATCTTCTAAGCACTCCTCACACACACATCATATATGATATAATATCCAATTGTAATCTTATTAACAGAATCAGCGAGCCAACGACAATCACGAATTCTTCTCGAACACTTATTGACCCAATATTTACTACGCA